GAAAAAAACGATTTCGATATTTCAACGGATCTTCGTATTATACACGCAAGTTTTCTTGAGCACCGAAATACCTACCCCCACGCCTTTGTCAACATTAGTTGAATGAATGATAGCAATGAACGTTGTAGGCAAAATCTGATGGACAGAAATGTTTGTTCCCGTATAATACAAACTATTTTGCTTCGAAAAATTAACAACAAATTTGATGTAAAATTCCTTTTGTGTAAAAAACCAAACTTCCCACTTTTCTATAGCGAAGCGAGGGCTCAAGAAAACGTGCGCATTTTGGGCTCCCCTTATATCCAGAGGCATATCTACGGTATGGTAGACATGGCACGAGCCATGGATGCAACACACAAGGGCAGCTATTTAGAGTATATCCGTTAAAACAAATAACAACTCTAATTTGAAGTAACCTGGTAAGATCGCAAATTCTATGCTTGGCGTAGGTGCGTCGGTACGTAGATACGACTCAGCTTATACCGAAACATATTATTTTATATCTCTAGTTGCTCTCAAAGATGGTGTTTTTTGGAGGTGAAATGATTACAGAGTTAGGAACAATCGTAAGGACATTACATTATAGTTTTAAAATATTAGGTATATATTTCCATTTTATTACTAAAATTTCTAAATGTTTTTTCTTCTAGTTCCTTTTCTGACTCCAAACTCTGACCACAGTGCAAATAACTTTTTGCCACTTATGTAACTTGAAATATTTAGTTTTGAAATATTTCTTTAGTGCTCTTTGCTTCACAGTTGCGTCGATAAGTTATATTTTATCTTTGTTTCCTGCATGATTCATTCGCTGTGGAATCGATGATTCATTCACATTCAATCACTGTCGCTGTCGTTCTCTGAATTTTGTTGATACCTGTTTCTTTTATTCCTTGGCATATTCTCTTAAAGCCTTGGTCCTTGTTATACGGTTTATGTGGTATCTCCTACATGTTCCTCCACACTACAACTCACGCATCTTCCGTTCGGCTCACGGCTTATTTCGTGATGGAAGCCGCATGCAGCCAAGCGGGTCCTGTCTTCTGCTTTCGTCCCTCGAGGATGGCTTTTGCAGCTGCGGACAACTTCTGATTTATTCATACACACCCACCAGACGTAGGCAAATCGATAAATCAAATTCAAAAACGTTAAATAGCTTCCTACTTGGAGAAGCAGACGCATGTTTACATTTCATCGACATTTTACCTCGTGTGCGAGGGGTATTTGTTTTCAATGATAATGGTTTTTGTATTGACTTCTTAGCAACGAAAATTGTTGACGCCTCAATTCCACGCAGAGAATCGCAAAGAAAGTGTAATATTAATTCAACGTCGACAAATGAGATGGACAATCCATTTGGGAGGTTAAGTAGTTTTGCCTAAAACGATGAATCAGTCAGTTATGATTTCAGGAAAGCAAGATATCATTTTGCGAAACATATTCTGATGAATAATCACAAGGTAACTATCTTGGTATTCTACGCGCACGTTTTCTTGAGCCCCGTAATATCTACTCCCATTCCTTCGCCAACATTATTTGAATTAAGAATAAATTATAGAAATGACCGTTGTACACAAAATCTGATAACCGGAAATAATCGCTCCCGTGTAATAGAAACTATTTTGCATTGGAAAACGAACTACAAATTTGATATACTTCAATTTCTTTCGTAAAAATAACTCCCCACTCCTTTCGCAACTAGTGACCTGAGTGCTCAAGAAAATGTGCGTGGATAATACAAATTTGTTTTTTGTGTTTATACAGTGCAATTATTTTTGTTACTTTCAGTTTTTCTAAGAGCATCTTTCAGTTTTTGGAAAATTAGATAACAAAAATGAATTAGCGTTTTATTAAATCATTAAAATATTTTCAATTACACAACCATTTTTTAGCACTAAGGACATATTTATAACATTGTTCTTATAAGCATTTGACTTGTTTTTAGTAAAAAGATGTGTTTAAAGAATCCAATTTATCTTTCTGAAAAATTGTTACATGTACTTAAAAAACTTGATTACTGCGTAGGTGAGTGAAAGTATGGAACTATGTTTTACCTTGTAGACATAGCAATAATGCGCTTCTAATCAAAATGCGTTATACATTTCATCTATGTTTGTATCGCAGACCCAGTCTCTACGCATGTATTCCTCGACAATGCTACTTTATACCGTACTTCTGCTGAGCGTGTCATTGATGGTCACTGCAGGTAAGTTGTACTCAAGCATGTGCAAGAGGTGTTGATGGAAGATTTTTAGTGGTATTAAGGTGCGTCTCATATGCGAGTTGCAAATGCAAATTTCATTTATTGAGAAAGCCGAAATGTGTTGTTATTTGAGTAAGGAAAAAGCAGGAATTTACATTGTTAGAAACTTTGAATTCTAAGAATGCGCTTCGTTGGGTGAGAGGTTAGTTCTTACGAATCAGGCCGCGGATTTGAGCATGGCTGAGGTGCGTGAATTTTCAAGAGACGGAAAACCCACAGTGACCACACACTTACGAGCATGTAAGAGAATTCTGGTTAAATTCCCGGCAAAATTAAATCCTGCGATAATTGATTGATGTTTTAGTGATTCCTGGCACGCCAACTGCAAGGGTCATTCGTCCCGTAAAAGTAATGCATGTTTTTTGCTCGAGGGGTGGCGGTGATCTTTCCCCCGCTGGTTGGCGAGATCAGGTGCCGACCTACCGCCGGCTAATGGGGTTTCCCCTACCAGGTATCTCCCACCAGATGGGCGCCGCAACAGACGGGACGAGCTCTAAGCTCGCGACCGGTCTCCCGGCACGTGTGGTGTAGTGCGCGGTAGTTTGTATGGGTAACGGGGAAAGATATGACAGGAAGATGGCGAGATCGCGCGCGGTCCGTGGCCCGTTTTTTTGGGTTCGGCTCCAGCATTCGCCTGGTGTTGATCGGAGAAACTACGGAAAACTCCCGATCAGAGCAGACGGTCGATAGAATTCTCCTCCAGACCGACTGAATTCTAGCTCCTGTCCAAAATCACGCAACTGTCGGGACTCGAACCTAGGACCTCTTCCTATTTTATATAGGAGTCTTAATAATATCCCATTTGCTTAACCAAGAATGCCTCAGTGATGGATGAATATTTCCCATGTTGGGCTGGCGTCGAATCGTTCCCGGCAGGAAATTAAGGGGCAAAATGTACTGACAACACTGAGAGCCTAGAAGTTGCAAAATAGAAATTCTTCTGTTTCAACCCATGTCAAGGGGCGGGCCAGTGAATAAACCTCAGTTGTTCTGAAATTACAAACCAAAGAATCTTGACGAGAGATACTGAACTGAAACAGAGACCGGAAAAATATATACTATGAAACATTAAAATATGTACATAAATATGTATAAAAATTATAAAACATATTAACCTAATTCAAAATTGCATTTATTAAAAACTTCCTAAACAAATTAAAAAAGGAATGCAAACCTTTTAAAAATCTGGAGTTTGTAAAAATTTGAAGAGCAAAAGTTCTTGCAAGTTTTACACTTAACAACTTCACGTCAGTAATAAAACTTTCATCTATTGCCATCCAGGCCCGTAGTTTAACGGCCAAACTAGACGCCATAGACGCCTTCGTACAAACTGGCGATATCTACGACCAACAATCTGTGCAGCGGGCAATATTCTCATCGAATTGTTACACGGCGGCAATCACCAAAGTCTCTCTTTAAGGTTAACGGTCACGAAACGCGGAGTCAGTGATACTTTTCACACCGAAAGATGAAAATGATCTTAGTCGCGCATTTACCGCCACTGACATTACTAAAGCAGGCGAGTCAGACTGTAAGAACATCCTTGCGCTTAATGTAGTGCAATTCAAGTCCTTAGTATTTATAAAGGAAACAATTATGATTTTATCATAAAATTTTTTAAAAATTGTAAATTAAAAATAAAGAGGTATATTAAATTGGTAGAGTAAATAAAGAGGTAGAGTAAATTGGTAGATAAAAAAATAGTTTGTGAAAATAGCAAAATATGTAAAATATGTAATATTTTATGTAAATATCTAGAAACATTTAAGAAAAAAATCGATACTGTGTTAAGATGGCAACGATTCGCCAAGATTTCAGTTTTGAATAGAACGACAAAAATATGTCACATTACAATCCAGTCTCCAGAAATAACTGCCATTTCGCAGGTACGCGAAAACTTAATATTTAACGATTTAGGTGTCTTAGCGAAGAATAGTTCAATAAAGGCAACAAAGTTATTTTGGATAGGACACAAATCACGTAGATCTGCATTTGCAAATTATCTGTCGTTGACCTTCATCAACCTCATAATGTTTCTATTGGCGTGATTTGACTCAGTGATTGACGTACACTGAGCTTATTGTTAACTGCAGAATGAAGAAAGGGAATGGATAAGATGCTAGGTACTACGTACAATTTTCACAAAGTCCGTTGCAATACATATTGAGTCCCACCTGGATAGCCGAGGTCGCTAGAGGCAAAAGGCCATAGCTGCTTCGGCTCGAATGGGACGCGGGTTTGAGCCCCACCCGGGCATAGATATTTGTGTGTGTTTGTGTTGTTCCTACAGTTAATTACAATCCTACAGTTAATCCTACAATTAATATAATCACAGAGGTCGCTATACGACCAAGTTGTTAGAGGGTCATTTTAAGAAATGTAATATATATTTTATATTATATATATTTTAAGCGATGTATCGAATGGTATAATGTACTGCCAACTGATGCAGCAAGACTGTTGAGATTTATTCATGTTGTTTTCGTTTGAAGAAGTATCAATGGGTTTCTTTTCTATCTAAATAATTGCAGATATGCACCGCAGGCGCTTCGCTTGAATTTGTTTGGATTTTTTCAATTGATGGCTGAAGTGAGGACGTAAATTGCAACATTATAGTATTATGTAACAGTTCCCAGTAATACTAAAAAGTATACGCTTCTATAGTAGCTCTAGCGTAGTGAGAGGCTGGTTGTAGCACCTGTGCTGGCGCAGTGAGATTAAACTGGCGATTCTCCCGAAAATGCCCGTGGCTGCGTGCGTCAAACAGACCGAGGGAAGAAGTGCTGGCCGTGGGAAATGCGGCTTCTGGGTTCCTGGTGTGTGTGGGTGAGGGTTGGAAGAAGCCGCCTAGAAACGGGTGGGTGCTGGTATGGAGAGGGCGGGAGGATGGCCATATTGCTGGCCGAGTGAGATAGAGCTTGTGACTTTCCCTAAATATCTCGAAGATTCTGGTGTGTGTGTGTGGGGGGGGGGGGCGGGAGAATGATTGTGGTGCTGCCCTACTGCAAAGTGGCTTGTAGGGTTCCTTAAAGAGCAAGGAGATCGTGGTGTGTGTGTGTGTGTGTGTGTGTGTGTGTGTGTGTATGGGGGTTGGTGTAGGAAGAGGGTGGTGGTGCCGGCAAAATGTCTTCGAACGTTCTCTTCAGAACCAACAGATTTCTGTGACTGTGAAGTGTAGTATATAACGAGCAGTTGCTCCTGTTGTGTTTATTTGTAATTGCGTCTCTATATTGTGCTGTTCTTTGTTTTCTGAATGAAAATTATCTGTGTTCGACAGTTAAAAGATTCATCAGCGAAGACCGCTTTCACCTAATGCACTACATTCTGGTGCAGGTGTTGTAAGAACATGTCTAAAAAGGGAATCTGATGGATAAAATCTTCCAGATAAGAAATATTCCACATCGCTGACATTATAGGTAATGTGGCTCCGCTGGATGCGGCTGTCTGTCGATTTCTGTACACGAGAGAATATTCAAGATATTTCTAATTGTTTATCAAATACCTGATGAACTGCATGTGGATGTGTTTTTTACTGTAACCGGCAACGGGCAATTCCAATTATTAACCGATTTGTTGGCACCTGAATATCCCAATACGCAGACATTACATGAAATATTTCAAGCATTGTCTGTGCACTTCGAGCCTCCTACGGTTGAAGTTTCAAAACGTCAAAAACTGTACAGCTGAGGTCAGGTCGATGGAAAATCTTCGCCTGAGTGGGTCGCCGGATTTAAACAATTGCCATCAACTTGTAACTTCGATTCGCCTTAACCGACGGCTTTGTGCGACCTGTTCATTGCAGGAATGCGTAATGAACACCTCAAACGTTGGCTGATAACTCAACCTGTAATTTAATTTGTTAACCCCACGAGTCAGTCTGCAGCTAGAAAAGGGTCAACGGAGCCTTCGTACGATTGAACCAGATTCCGCAGGTGCAATGGCGATTCAAAATGTGGGATGAGATCAAGGTTCGAACAAGCGCGAGCCTTAGAAGGAAGACATACCATTGCTGCGGGGATAAATGGCACATTGCACCGAATTGTCCGCATAGAAATGGAATTAGTCGTAAGTGTGGTATAACAGCGCTGGGTGAAGGTGCGCTGAAGTAATGGAGCTCTCGGGGAGCGAGTCGGCTCGTCTTCCATTCACCTGTGCCGTCACCGGATTCCATTCTCGCCGCCTCCACCTCTCAGTCCTGAACGAATCGGATTGACTGCGATTTGGGTCGTCTACAAACAGACTGCGCACTTAGGTGATGAAAGTGGGCCGGTGACGGGAGAGTCCCAGGCGACTATCTACTTGAAGGGTGTCTGATACATCTTGTAGCGTTCCTCAGAGTCCTCAGAGGTGCCTGTGTTGGTGTGTGTGTTGTGTGGGCGCAGCGCTTTCTTGCCAGCGCAGTGGAATGGCTCTGGTGGCGTCCCGCAGGGCCCAGCGGGGCGCCGTGGGGGGGTGGGGGCGGTGGGGGCGGGCGTGAGGCAGTGGAATGGCTCTGGTGCAGCGTCCCGCCAGGGCCGCGAGGCGCCGTGGGGGGCGTGGGAGGCGGGCGTGGGGGCGCGGCGGCGCAGTGGATGATGGCTCTGGTGGGCCCGCAGGGCCCGGCGACGCGCCGTGGGGGGCGTGGGAGGCGTGGGGGCGTGGGGGCGGGCGGGCGCAGTGGAATCGGCTCTGGTGGCGTCCCGCAGGGCCCAGCGAGGCGCCGTGGGGGGCGTGGGGCGGGCGCAGCGGGTGGGTGTGGGGCGCCCGCTGGCCGGGAGAAGCAGAGCCCGCCTGCGCGCCTCGCCCGTTCCCCGCTCGCCGCCGCGTGGCCGCGTGCAGCCGCCGCGTCTTCCCGTGGTGGCAGCTGCGCGCGGTGCGACTGCGCGGCCGCGCTCGACCACCGCTGCGCCGGTGGCGCGCTGGGCGCGCGGGAGGCGCGCGGGATGCCCACCGCCGTGCTCTCCGCCCTGCACCCGCGCGACGCCGCCGCAGAGCCCATCGTCTTGACCATGTCGCTGCCCCAATCCACCTGGGAGTTGCATTACTTGAATAATCTCCTCAAGGAGGTTTCATTCCTTAGCACTCCGTTTAGAGGAAGGTGCGCTTTCGTTTTAACTGCTCTTTGCTTTGCTATATTAAATGTGTTTCTTTAATTCCGAAAGAAAAGAAAGCTTTTGTTGTGGTCAACTATGTTTGATGAATATTAATGTAGTACATAATACTGATAATTATGTTTTACTAAATTAAAATCCTACATATAGGACTTTTTTTTAAGAAATGGATCGAAAAAATATGCAGTTAAAGAGCTGCTTTTACATCATCGTCATTATTATTATTATTATTATTATTATTATTATTATTATTATTATTATTATTATTATATTAAAGTGATTGTGTTGTGGCAGGAAGTTGCTGGGGCTGGCGCGAGTGGCGGAGGGCGAGGGCGCTAGCGCGGAGGAGGCTCTCAGCGAGGACAGACCGACCTCTGCAGCGGCTGAAGGGCGAATGGGCGCGGAGGAGAAGGCCCGCGACGAACCTCATCGCAGGGGGAATCACAGCGGAAAGGTTCTCACTCTCTCTCTCTTAAACATTTCAGTCTTAAATCGTGCTTTATCAAACGACAACGTAATGATGGGTATTAATACTCGAGTGGGATATTACGATACGAGCGAGTGTATTAATACTCATTATATCGAGTTTCATTCAGTACTTTGGCTACGACTTCTGGTCACTTGTATAAGAAACGTTTACATTGAATCGTTTCGTGGCAGTTGACATGCAGGATTCAGCCAAGGCCATCTACCGGACAGCTCCGTAACTCTACCCTACCCTGTCAAAGGGGTCTTTGGTTACCAGTCCGCCTGAGAGGGAGTACTGCGCTAGTCAAATACGGTCAAAGTAAAATTACGGACAAATTTATTTTAAATAATATTCCCAGAAAAAATACTAGTAATAAAAGGAATTAACTTACAAGATTAATATAATCTGTTTGCAGTATCACTACAATCTTTTCTGTTTCTTAGCTTTCACTACTAAATCGTTCCACTTTTCCTGTCATTCACTATCGCTCTTCACTCTCCCTCGTGCAGCACTCGTATATCTTGGAAACCGTCGTCCATCCACCGCGCTCCTTTTCGCGCCCAAATGTTGCCAGCCATGACATGATCTTGGTTGGTAGGTAGGCTGCTCAACTGCATCCTCTGAATGTGGCCCAACCATTCTTTTCTTTGAGCCTTAATATCGTATTAAACTTCCCCCTTTTATTATATTTCCTAATTCTTGGCTTGTTCTTATTCTTCAGATAGAAGTATTTTTCATGAATTGGCCCATATATTTTACACAATTACTGTCTTTCAAATATTACCGGTCGGTTTATGTCTGTCTCTGAGTGTCCATCTTCCTGCTGCATATGTATTAACTGGTATGATTAGAGCTTTATATATCTTAGTTTTTATATATTTTGAGAGTAGTTTTGATTTTAATAGTTTTTGATTTACATAGTATACTTTACGACCTTTCCTTAATCTTTCATTTATTTTAGCTTGTATGATATTCTTCTCATTCAGGATACATCCCAAATAGTTACTGTTCTCCACCTTTTGGGAATGATAGTTGTTTATTTGTAATTCTTTAACGTTTGATTATCGTTTTCTCGTCAGTTGGATATATACTTAGTTTTCTGTTCATTTTCTGCGAGTCCCACTTCATCAGCTTCTTTTATCAGTTTGTTATATAATTCTGTAAGTGCTTTCTTGTTCCTGCATATTGTCATTATATCGTCTGCATAAGCAAAACATATGAAAGGAATCCGATTATATGTTTTCAATTTTAACTCTTCCAGTAGTATGTTATGTCTTTCCAATAAGTCTAATTAGTTTGTTCGGTATTCCTATTTCTTGCATTCTCTCCATTAATCTAGGACGTTTAATTTTATCAAAGCTTGTTTGAAATCAACGTACAGTTCGATGTTATGTTCACAGCATTTTTCAAATATGTGGCGAATTATAAATATACTATCCGTGATTGCTCTGTTATTTCTAAACCCGTTTTGGTATTCCCCAATTATGTCATACGCATATTTAGTCAATTTATTATTTGTAACTACTGCGAGTATTTTATTCTCGATAGCATAATATATTAAATGCAATTTTAATGTACACAGTCGAACGATACATTTACTAGAACAAGTCTCAACGATTAATTGTGTCAATACTTGGTTTGTAAACATTTTTGTGATTGGTCAAGAACCTGTATCGTAATGAAGTATGTATAGTAATGAGTATCATTGCGGAACGGGTTCCTGATATCAAATGACAGAATTATACAATGAGAGTAGAAAACGGATTTAATGTTCGCTTTGAGGTTCATTAGCCAAAGGTGCACTTACTCGACTTCCAAAATCTCTTATACGTTATGGATAAGACTACTGGAATATGTGTGAACAGTGGCGGCTAGTGCCCCAACGGACTAAAGGTTGAACCTACATCGAATAACGGAAATGTAATTTCAAAAATACGAATATATGAATGGGTGAAAACCATAACGATATAAGTGACATTTTATAATTTCTGAGAAATCTTTTTCTTTAAGTCAATATTACTGTAAAGTCGTGGTGCTTTGTTTCATCATCAAAACCACGGCATTTCAATTGTTCATTAAAACCACGAACATCCGTTTATAATAAATAAATAAAATATACCCCAAAAATAAACACGTTTTATCAGAATGTATAAAATATCTCTTATACTGTTCTGGTTTTCCCCATTCATAATAAAAATGTAAGCAATTTGGGAAATTAATTAAAACTAAGTTAAATAAAGGTCTATATTGAAACTGTAGTTACATAATTGAATGCGTCGTGTTCGTGTAAGGTGCAACCTGCAACGCACATGGTTCTGACTTTTATTTCTACTAGGCACTTAACTTAGACTCCAGCACATTGCAACAAGCACTATTTCTTCAACGTTTCACACAAATTAAAATATTTTATTTCGAAAACCTCTCTACCCTGGTAAAATATATATATCTATATATGGCAATAATGAAAGAGCTTCGACACACGAGCTTTATATTCACAAGAACACTCGCAAACTGCTGGCCTACCAGCTGCAGGCACTAGCCGCCTTTACATAAAGATCTTATCAAATGTACGTTTTGAATCAAAAAAGCTAATATCAAATGAAAACAAATTCTCCAAATATAAGCAATGCATTGAATATCGTCTATAACTTATTGAACTTGTGTAGTTTCAACAACAAGCAAAATTCATAACATTTCCTCGTAGCGAGTCTAGCGCCACTAGCTGGTTGGGCAACCAAAACGGCCTGTGTCTCCCGTGATAAATCGAAGGACCAGAATGTCATCGTAGTCAACAGCCAATAGCGGAGCGCGTGGTAGAATACCCGGCAAGGTACCAAAAACTGTAAAAAGCGGAAGATGGACGTTCTTTGGATTCAAAATGATTTCATATACATAGATATTGCAGTAATATCTTGAAAATTGAATGTAATTAAAAGGAAAATGAGAATTCTTAAATTATTATGAGATCTTTTCCGATTATCTGGGGGTTGTGCAACCTAAGCCCGAGCCGCCACTGTGTGGGGTGAGAAAATCCACCGCATGCAAAGACAAGTGAAAGCTGCGCCGGAGTTTCATTCTTAGGCCCCGCTCGAGTTTGGTGGGGGCCAACTGATTCTGCATTTGTTGGAATGGAAAACCGACAATGCCAAGAGAAGGCTGTCGGGTGAAACAACAGCGGCATCGGAAGTGCATATCAAAATGCTTTGGAATCACTACTTCGGCATAGCGTTTATTTACAGGCTAATTGTACACAGATACGCCACATTTCAGTGCCATTAATAGTGCCCAATTATGTCATTATTAGTGCCAAATATTCTATTTGCTTATTTTAAGTGCCTAAATAATCCCTTTTTTGTGGCTAAAATTACGAGGTCTTTCATAACTTATTACGTTTGCAAACCATGTGGGACTGCCGCCCGATCCAGGAGAAAGGACGTGGTGGAGGTGGTTACAAATGGGGCGTTCGCGCATGCGCAGTGCACGGGCTGCGCCAAGTGCAGCGGCGGCGGCGGCAGCGGCGGCGGCGGCGGCGCGGCGCCCGCGCTCCTCACAACCTGGCTCTCCCAACTCCGTGAGTAGATGTAACAGTAACAACAACAACAACAACAACATTATAATAATAATATAATAATAATAATATTAATAACAATAATAATTATATAATTATAATAATATAATAATACAATAATAATAACAATAATATAATAATAATAATAATAATAATAATAATAATAATAATAATAATAATAATATGTCTATTTCTGGCGAGGTTCAGGCCGGAAGGACTGATTTTCCTCCTAGCTAGCTAAATATTTACAGTTCATAATAACAATTGACGCGTTGGCGGAAACAATGGTAACTGACATTTCGTTACTTACGAAAGTACAGTGATCGTATTAATTAACGAAAATGTGCATAAGCAATGAAACAAAGTATGAATGTATGAATTGCAAATGTTCAAGACTCTAAAGCAAAACATGCTGATATAAAGAGAGACCATGTTTCTTATTACAAGAAAGGCGTGGCAAATCAATAATTTTAATTCCGCAAAATGTCAGAAGTGATCTACACCCGAATGCCTCAATTGTGATCAAATGGCGAAAAAGGAGGACGGGTTTTACATTTGTGCCTAGGATGCAAGACTATAAAGGGAACATCCAGCCATACGCCTTAAACTATTGAAAAAAAAACAACAGGAAAACCTCAATCACGATGGCGGCTTGGGGCCGTAAAATTATGCCTGCTGGACCACATTATTTGCATTTTTCAAAATTCCCACTTTTACAAATTTAACATCAGGTTATTTCACAATGTTTCCCACAAATTACCTTCAAGTTTTGCCATTTTTTTGTATTGAGGTCTGTTGAGGTCCATGGTTATAACCGAGCTTCCAGATTTTAAGCATTGACAACGCAATTTTCAATTTTATTAATTTTGAACGAAACATGCATCAATATTCTCAATATACAAGGTAGTTGCATAACTATTGAGGATTTAATTCAATTTTATCCGGTAAGGTCTGTTGTCGCGATCACATCTTTTTCTTTTTCAACAAGAACTTAATATTCTAGAAATGTAATATTTTCCTAAATATTGATAAATTTCTGCGTTTCGGCGGAAAGAATACATTTCTTCAATGATAATAGAAATAGATAATTTTCAACAATTTATTGATCCAGGTTATCACTATAATATCAGAGCAGATTTTATTTCAACAATTTGAAGAGATTTCATTTTCTCCAATGTCTTGTCTTCAACAAGGGTGTACATAGCTACCACGCAAGAGATAATATATTAAGTAATAGATAACTTACCATTCTTCAATCGAAATTTAGAATATAATTGATAACTTGTATGAATGTGATGCATTATTTCTTAAGCAAGTTCGTAAGTTCTTACTTCGATAGCACATCAGAGATAAGATAACAGGTTAAAATGATGCAATGGTTGCACGAATATAGGGAGATTTTGCGGGCAGCAATTGACGGCCATCTCGGTCTTCTGCGCATGCGCAGATGCGCAAGTGCGATGCGAAACTCAAACTGCGCATGCGCAGAAGGTGGATAGGGCTGTTGCGTGCTTTAACGTTCGAGGGTGCACAAACTCCCTGATGATGCAATATTTCGCCAGAGATACCGTAGCATCTCAAAGATAAGGTAGCAGATATTTCGCTACAGGTGTAAAAATAGTGTAATATTTTCTAATAGATGATAAAACGTTATTTCTATCCAGTGTCATTAGGGAGTGTGTGCCACCTCGAACATTATCGATCTACGGCTCATGCGCAATTCAAGTTTCGCACCATTTTAGTTCATACGCGCAAATAGCAGATCGATAATTCAGACGCGCTCAGATGGCGAGCACAAACTCCCTATTAGTAAGGACGATTCAGTCAGTGTGTTGTCCCATGATACATCAGTAGGCTAACTTTAAGTAAGTTTAGTTTGATTTACAGGTTATTTATGTAATGAAGTATTAATCCCGTTTTACACTGTCAATTTTTCGTTCTCCACTGTACAGAATAAGGATAGAAAAATACGATTTTTGTTCGGTATCAAAAATGGATTATCAAGACAAAGCATTGTACACGGTCGTTTTACTTCATATTAACATTATGAAAATATTTTCCACGGACACTGCAAAAACCGCTGCAACTCGACCATTGCTTCAATTAGCTTCGCATCTAACCTACAAAAAAAGTCATGACTAAGCACGGAAAGACACCTTAAAAAAAGTACTTAAGGCAATTATTTTTATTCCGCACCACATAGAACTCAACACAACAAACCGAACACTGGCAAAACGTACCCCATGCAGAGCATCTAATCTAGTTCATACCTTCTCTGTATCGATCAACGATCTAGAAAATACTACATAGAGTGGCTGAAGCGCCTCCATCTTTGCAGCAAATTTAGCGCCATGTTTTTTGCAGCCAAAGCGACGCCCTTTGGAGAAACATAATTCTAGTAATCCATTTGGCAGCTCTCTAAAGCTAGCAGCGCCCAAAAACAAATTTCAACCAAACTACATCCAAACTTCTTGGCTAATTTGAGGCTAATTAAATGCTCTATTTCCGAATTATAGGCTCTCTTGGATTTTCCAAAATTGAAGGGGATCCAGTCCTCTAACTTGAAAGTAAAGAACATTTTGTTTTATGATGTCAGTCCGCGTATTTTTGAATTGCTCTCGTATAAATCATCTTACTACGTGTTTCACGACAAAACACCAAACATTTAAAAATAAAATGACGGTATGTAACGATAAGGAATTCAGAAATTTATTTCTTCCTGCATCCGTAAATGTCATACGAATTGAAGGTGTTGAAAAGTTATTGCAGTTACCATAACGCCAGAAGTGAATGTTATTGCAAAAAGAAGCAAACAAGTAGATCACAAAAAGGTGTCAAACTCCAAAATGGTATATTTGTGGTTTGATGACTTCTATTTTTACACTTATGTGCATACTTATGTGCACGGCGGCGATGGTGTAACGGTTAGCGTATCAATCTGTTATACCCAAGTTGGCGGTTTAAATTCTATCCAAGCCATGGATTTTTAAGGGCGAAAAAATCCTTCGTACGCCTTCCTTCGGAGGGGAAGTAAAGCCGGCTGTCCCATGTTCGTAGATTTACGTGCATGTAAAAGATCCTCAAGCCTAAATGACGCCTCTGAGCTAAATTCAAATTGCCTGTTTCTCGCCCAAGAAATACTTCCTTTCTCTGCTAGTTGGTGAAAGGAGCGTAGCGAAATTTGCGTGGTCAGACGGAGGAGCGGGTCTCGCCACGTAAAATAAGACATCAATTCAATTCAAAAAGGCATTGCGAATATTATTGTCATAACTAATTTAATTAAAACACAGATAAAGGAAAAGACAATTCACAGGTAAGATCTTATACAAACACCACGTCGATTCAGAACAACAGTTCTACACGCAACCATCAGAAACATGGCGGCCCCTAATTGGTGGAGCGCCCACAGAGAGCGCTGGCGCGAGTGCGAAAGCCGAAGGGCGAGTGGCGCGCGCAGGGCAGCTGGTGGGGGAGCCGGGGGCGCGGGCGGTGGAGGGGGCGACGCCCCGGGCGCTGGCGACGGCGGCGCAGCAGGCGCTGCGCTGGGTGGAGGCAGCGGCTGGGCGCGGCAACGGAAGCCTGCTCATCGTGAGTGCCTTGGACAATAGGAGTCACTTAGTTGTTGCTGTCTCAGTACATTTTCATTTCGCCTTTTTGCCTATTTTTGCTCCTGATACTTGTTTTTGGAATTTTACCTCATTTATGCCCTTTCCTTATTTGTGCGTTTTTCTGCCTTTTTCATTATTTTTCCTTTTACCCCTCTGGGCACTAATCTCTATCAAGCTGGAACCGTAGTCCTGATAACATGAAGGCACGGTCGTGTATTTCGTGTCTGTGAACGTGGAGGCTTAAGTGTAAGGTTGTGTTACAAATGTAAAAGAAAAAGATGATACTTTAAAGATTTGTTTATACCTTTCATTGATGCTAGTTGACTTGTTCGCTCGCGAGGTACTCGTCATATGTTTCAGAATGGTCTCACATGTCTTTTAAGGACGTAATTTACCCTTCTCAAGTTACTCCTTGTTCCCTCCTCCCTTCTGGCGATTACACAAATTTAAAGAACGAAATCCATAATTCCGTTGTCAATGAGAGCACAACAAGATTGAAAGAGTCTATAAGCTCCGTGGGCTATGTGTCGCCGCTGCGCGAAGTGGGGTGAAGTGGATGTGCAGCAGGGCTGTTGTGGGCGGTGGAATGAATGTGAATGAGATGTGCGGGTGCGCAGGTGCGCAGTGTGTCACCGCTGAGCGAAGTGGGGTGAAGTGGATGTGCCCCAGGACTGTTGTGGGCTGTGGAATGAATGTGAATGAGATGTGCGGGTGCGCAGGTGCGCAGTATGTCGCCGCTGCGCGAAGTGGATGTGCCGCAGGGCTGTTGTGGGCGGTGGAATGAATGTGAATGACATGTGCAGGTGCGCAGTGTGTCGCCGCTGAGCGAAGTGGGGTGAAGTGGATGTGCCGCAGGGCTGTTGTGGGCGGCGGAGTGCAAGTGAAGGGGGTGTGCAGGTGCGCAGCGTGGTGCCGCTGAGCGAAGTGGGGTGAAGTGAATGTGCCGCAGGTCTGTGGTGGGCGGCGGAGTGCACGTGAATTTGGTGTGCAGGTGCGCAGCGTGGTGCCGCTGAGTGTGGAGAGTCTGTCGGCGCTGCTGGGGTACGCTGAGAACGCGACTCGCTCCGCCGAGAACAAGTCTCGCCTGGTGGCTGTTCTGGACGGGTGTCCAGCGGCGCATAACGGCTCGCTTGACGTCTTCATACATGGTAAGAGATCGACCTCTTAGTGTTGGAATATAAAGTCACTGTAAATTTGGGCCTGGTAGGGATAATGACTTTTGGCAGACGATATGCCTAGCGTTGCAATTTGCTGAGGTTATTTGCTATTTTCCAGGAAGGAATTAATTTCCATGACGTTGACTAGCCATGGTGTAAGATATATTTCTTACACCGTACTATAGCGGAAATTTAGGTTCTGTTCACTATAATAGAGGGTTTAGTATATCCGAACTTACTATAACCAGAGTCTACTGTTTTTTGTTTAATTATGGCTTCGAACTTAACATTCAGTGGCGTAGCGCAATGCGGGGGCGCAGGTAAAACGGGCCTATTTCTGAGGGATATTTTTATTATCTAAAGTAATAGCACCCCTTGCGTTGCTATGACTGGGGCCGGTTCAAGCGTAGTGCGGGCGGGCCTGCACTCTCTGCCCGTCGCCACTGGTAACGTTTATTGCGACTGAACCGTCGCGCGAGGGCTGCGTGTGCGCGAGGGCTGAGGCGCAGAGGGGCTTGTGCGCAGGGCGCGCGAACGACAGCGTCGGCGACGGGTCCTCCCTCGACGCCCTGCTGAGGTCTCTGCTGTCCGCCCTGAGGCCCACCCACATCGCAGGTGCGTACATTTTGCTACGTTTTGATGTGATGTCTAATCTAATCTAACCTAACATTACCTAATCCGAAAATACTCTAATCTTTATATTTAAACCAGTAATGGTTTTCTTAAAATGAAATTTGAGATTCTTCTCCACCATATTTTGTGATTTTGATTTTCGAAAGGCAGACCATCCTCACTGGGGAAGTGGCAGTTCAAATAGCCCTGGCCAAATTCCCCATGTATAACCAATAATCCCATTTTTTACAATTTTCACAAAAACGGCAATGTCTGCAATATTAACAGTATCGTCATGTCGCGTCTCAAAGGCTTGCGATTTTTAAAAAAATATTGTATTTAAGACGTATTTCAATTTTTTGCAACCTCTCGTACTAGTCTATTAAACTATAAACTGGATTATTAAAGATTAAGAGTTTTTTCTTGTAATTGGATTTATTTTTCACTTTTCTTTAATAAATGTCTTGTTCATTTTTTTGAAAATATTACTAGTTTTGCGTAATTGTGAGAGAAATATGGACAATATAAAAAAGGTGTTCTCTATGAAGGATCATAATTTTTAAATACTTTTCGTACGTATAGTTAAAAGGCACTAAATAATATGTTGTAAAGGCTATTTTTATTTTTTCAAAAAAATTACACAAATTTAATTTTTTTGTTACAACTCTCCGGTCGTTAAAATTTATATTACAGCTATCTTTATATATGCATTATTAGACTTTAAAATACAACTGCTTCAAATAATGTTTTATGAAATTTCTCGAAAATCTCAGAAAAACTGAAGCTGATCTAAATTCGTCAATGGAAAATTAATTTCGACCAGATTTTACCCTTCAATAATATTCTTAGTCGTATTTCAATTCACTTGTTAATGGACTAAAGATTGAAAAAATGTGAACAATGAATTAATTGAACCTGAAACTAAAAATATTAAGTATTATTAACTGATCAATAAATTAAATAAACTGCAAAATTTGTTTTAATAGAAAATATAATTTAATATGAAAGAGGGAAAAAAGGGAAGGAAAATTATGTAAGCAATAAATTAATGACTAGTAATTGCACACAATCTGTACGAAACCTTTAGAACTAGCTTTATTAAAATAGGAATAAATAAGACTCTACTGATGAACTAAAATTATCAAGAGCTAAAACGATATGAAATCTTTCAATTAAAAAAAACATTAGAAAGAATACTAATGGCACAGCCCAATTACATTAGTATTCTACAAAATTTTCAAACTAACTTAACTAAAATAGCTTGACATAAAGAAAGCCACAACAATTGAAAAGGACTATCAGATCTTAAATAAGTAAAATTAACAAATAAAATTATGGAACCAATAGTAAGCGTCACTCATAAAAGTAGCAAACTTACTCAATGCACTTTTTTTTAAAAAAAATTGAGTTGTTTTTACATAACATTTGCTTGAATAGTAAGATAATTTATATTTTGTCTCATAAATTGCCTCTGAGTTTTTATCTGAGTTTTCGAAAGGAGCAAAAGTTATAAGAAATGCCTGAACGAATATGTTTTTTTAAATGTATTATAGTCTCATCAACCCAAGATTCCTAGCGCCTTTTCAGTATTTTACATATTCGATATTTCATTTTACATTATTTCTATATTCAGTAGAGTTTTTATAATATCAAGGAGATTATTTTAATAGTTCAAAAACTTGACACCCACTCATAGCTGGTATGTTAATATGCTTTTGTAGCACTGCTAGTTTCTCGATGTAAGTAAATGATAGTTTGTTAAGAAGTAGAAAGGGGAGAGGAAGCGTCGACTGAAGACGGGTGTTCCACAGGGTCCCCGGGGGAGGAGGAGGAGGAGGAGGGGGCTGCGGCGCCGGGGAGGCGCGAGCGCGAGCGCGCGCACGTGCCCTGCGCCAATCGCACGTGCCTGCCCCCCGCCCAGCGCGCGCGCCGCCACTCGTGAGCAGCACAATTAGATCTGGCCAATTGGCAGCTGGCGACGTTGCCACGTGGCCGTTCTCGCATCAGGTCACAACAGCAGCACTCAGGGTTGCCAGATAGGGCAATTTTGTCCCCGAAATGTGTGGTTTTTTTTTTTTTTTTTTTTTTTTTTTTTTTTTTTTTTTTTTTTTTTTTTGTCCTGGGGAACATAAATGAACGAGGACATGCATAGGAATTTTTTGGGGAAATTATTTTGAACTGGGGTTGACATAGAAATATTCTCTCTATTATGAATAAAAAAGAAACAATAGACGTTATTCTTTCTCATTTTGTGTAACAAAAAGAGAAAAATAAACGACAGGTGTAGAGAAAGAAAACATTAGAAAAACGTCCAGCAGCTCACAGGACGTTGATTAGTTGACAAGGACAACCAATGGAATCGTCAGGAACAGCTCATGTCGTTGGTCCATAATTTGGAGAATATTTTCCGTTTGAAAGTTTGAGAAGTGCGTTTCATTGGAGAGGCTATTTGGGGAAATTTCGTAGTAGTGGTGGGAAAAGAGCTCGCAACACACCTAGCAGCAGTAGCAAGAATTAAGTAGCAACTCATACGATGCATAACCAAAGAAGTAATGCTCTTCAATTTCCAGTCCCTTCCAATAGTTCCTTCGGGTTGTTAGATTTCATTTTTTTCTTAAGAAGTATTGGCAACTCTGCAGTGACTTGCGCAGAAATTGAACCTTCTGATTGTATATCGGAACGCCTTCTCGCCTGTCAGCCACTAACTGTCAATTGGACAAAAATATTACTCGGACTATAGATGATAATTGGCTAGCCTGTAGCACATTTACTAATGTCAAAATATACTTTTACAGCAAACAAGCAATTTTCCATCTACAACATCGCCAATCGGTTGAGAATCAACGAACGAAAGAGCTCTCTTGTAAGTGACTTTTAGTAATTCTATCTTTACTAATATTTTTTAATTATTATAACTTCTATACGTTATGATTCGGTAAAACTAAGTCAGCGTGTTCAGTCATGTAATCTCAAGAGTAAATTTTTTAAAAAAAATATTTTTGTGACAATCACGGAAAGTTATCTTTGACTATCATTGATCTTTTGAAGCCAATTTCATCACTTTTGTGCAAACTCTTTGTCTACAGTTGCGCCACGCTCAGAAACGGTGGAGCGGCGGCGACGCGCCAATTTCTTCGACGATCTTTTGGAGGAGCTTCGCGTGAAGCGAGGAGGTTCTGCTCTTCCCGAGAAAGACTTTGTAAGAGGAAAAGCGTAACGGTTAATTCCTAGAAGTCCCTTCTGCGCCGAGGATCCTCCTCTGCATTAATTCGCGGGAAAACAAAATGACACGTTTCTATGGTTATTGTGTGTTTCCTTTTTCTAAAACGCATGCCAAACTACTTCCTATACGTGTGTACATGAACAAATAATTAGTTAAATGCCTTACTTTCATCCATGCCATTTATAATTCCGAAACCGCAAAATGTAAGACCAACATTGTTCAGTCTTACGGTGGAAAGTATGAAATAGTATTTACGTAATTACCATAGTTTATAATGTTCAGCTTTATTACATGTATACAAATTTTGAAAACGAGGGGCGTTAGAAGCACAAGTTCATTGTGACATCAAGGGTATTTGATTTCTGTGTGAAAGAAAACTGTGGTTTTCACGTTACCATGACTTCCCATCGATTCTCTCGTAAGGATTCGCTGAATTGTGATTATTCGTGCAGTCGTGCCCTGAATGACAAATACGTCATAGACTGAACCATAAGATGTTATTTTAGGAACGATTTCTTTTAACGAAGGTCATTTTCAATGATGGAATACAAAAAAATCCGTAAAAACTGTATGTGACGTATGGAGAGAAGATCATCTTCGCACGTTTTCTTGAGTATGCATTCCTTGTGAAACCGTACGTGGAAAAAGCTTTCAGGGTTTTGAAGTTGAAGGGTAATAGAAATGGTGTTATCAGAAAGGCGTACGTACTTAACTTCGGTACAAGATTCTTATTCACGTACTTTTTAATAAGCCATGCGTATTAACTACCAATTTACGGTGGAATTACTTGTGATCTTTTCGAGATAAGTTTTACAGTAATTTAAAATGTAAAAAGGCATAAAATAATGATTATATCTTGTTGCAGGAGGATTTTTTAAGATTTACGGAAAGTGATAGAGAGTGGCACCCAGCAGCACAACGGGTGGTCACTGCTAAGGAAGAGAGCGAAACGCTGCGTACCACCAGAGCAAAGCTGACGCTTCAAGACCTATTAAAAGAGATAGAGCCAATGCCTACGATAAAAAAACCGATAGAGAAACACGCATCGAAGGACAATGTCTTGCTGAAGAACGCTACAAATAAAGCAACCACTATCAACACACGGAACAAATTCATCGAAGGAAAAACAATCACATCCGAAGCCGTGTTTTCACC